TACATTTAAAGAAACAAAATTGTGCAAGTGCAACTACTCTATTTCACAATTAACTGTGTCTGAAAAAGCGAAATAATAATGTCCTAAGTAGAATGTTCTTTAGCAAGGCATAGCGCATCAAAACGTCCTACTATAAACACTGTAATTTGTTGCCACCGTGTCCTCAAATTCTTGACACTCCTATCTAGTTTTCCTTGCCGACGTGAATTTGACTATTTTCTGCAATCTAAACTGTTTACCTCGTGGAACTTCGCAATTTTGCCTTGATGTTCGTGGCGCTGTCGCGCTGCGTGACGCCCTCGGTCCCACCTCTGCGTGTAAGAGATACGATTCGCCTCTCCTCTGCGTGCCTTCTTCGTCCTCTTTCGTTCTTCTTCGTTGTCATCCGTCTTCTCCTCGTGCGCCCAAGTCCTCGCCTCTTCTTCTTCCTCGTCTTCTACTGCGCCTCTGACTACCCCACGTTGCGAAAATGTCCCTTGCACTCACGAATTACCCGATGCAAGTTCCTCGCTCGTTGTACTTCTACTTTGCAAGCCAGAACTTTTAATGTTTCCTCACAGCGGTAATTTTTACTTCCGTGTTTTAATGAAGAAACACTACTTAATCTGCACTACCAAACTGCAGTCCGAACTGCACTTAATACGGTACAAGTGAAATCTGCTACCGCAACACTGCCCGGCCCGGTGCTTCTCGAGGCCTCTCCGTGCGCACCACCTTAATCCGTTCGCTCGCCTCGCCGTTCCCCCCCCCCCCATTTGACCGTTGGTGGCGGCGGCGGCGGCGGCGTTACTGCTGCTATCTAACTCCTACGTTTTATTTTAATTTATAATATATCATTTTAAATTGTTCTAATTACAGAAAACGTTTCTTCGTTTCAAATATATAATTATATATATATATATATATATATATATATATATATATATAGATATGTACATAAATGTATTGTTTTGTGTGCACTATCACGACACAGACCTACGGTTGATGGCGTTTGAAACAGCTTGCTTCCCTCTAAAGAGCAATATGGGATGGCGATTGCATCTTTCAACACGATCGAGGAACTGTGTATTTTGCACGGCCTGTGCAGATTGGTTACACGACAGTAAACATCCCTGTAATGGCTGCCATGCACAGATCCTGTCTTGAATCCTATCGAACCCTTTGGGATATTTTGAAACGCCTACTTCTCCGGCCTCACCCACCTACATCGATACCTCTCTCATGCAGGGACTCCGAAGAAGGGGATGCCATTCCCCAAGAAACCTTGCAGCACCTAATTAAAAGTATGCCTGCAAGATTGGAACCTGCCATCAAGGCCAAGGGTGGGCCAACACCCTATTGAATTCCAGTATTACCGATGGGGGCGCCACGAACTGGTGTATCCCTGTCATGAGTAATTTAATTTTTTAAGTTTGTTCTGGTATGCTCATTAGCTCTCTAAATATTTAAATATGGTAATTTAACATTAATACGTTACCTTTTTACGTACACCTCTGTACAGAACTGCGATTCCTAGAAGTTCTGCTGGCTTAAACCTGTTTTAAACTGATGGCAACTATTATAAATTATCAGTCTGCTCATTTATTTCAACAAGAAGAATTTAATAATTTTTTTCTGGTATTTTTACAACCATGCTTCGAAAAAAAAATAACAGCGCTCCGACATAATGCTTGGTATCCTATACTTGTTGATCGGCTGTCCTAACAACGCGCATTCTTTGACTCTCAACGTACGGTATGCATACAATACCATCGTAACTACATTGTTTGATGTCAATTTTCCTATAAAAATACAGTGGTGTTTTCTGGCTTATCATATGTATATTCTTCCATGGAAGGCACCAATAAAGAGGTCACCCGATATTAAATATTTGCTAGTTACGTGTTACATGAAGCAGCAATTTTTTGAAATTCTTGGTGTTTGAAGAACTCTTGATCTAAGTATTTGCATACTTTATTTGTATATTTAGGTATTACAGTACTTTTGAAGACTGCTTGTTAATATAATTAATGTATCGTAGTGCTGGGAAGATTATTTTATGTGACGTTAAGCAGTGAGCGTGGCTCTTTCTAGAAATCCATTTTTCGTGGTTATATTAAGCAGCATTTTTGCTGCGCAGGCCAGCTGTCTTTGGTGTTTCTTTCCAATGCGCGCAGGAATTGAAAGAAACCTATGCAACGTCTGACCATGAGAGATGTGACCACCGTTTCCTTAGCTGCCCAAGAACTCGAAAAAACAACACAATGAATCAGATTCGATTTGGACTGAAAAATGAAAATATTTGATTGTGTTTTTCTGATTATTCTCCTATTTCCTGTACAGACTAAATCCTCATACTCAGTGCTTACAGCGCAGCTATCTTCATGCAGACAGCAAAGCTCCAAGGAAAGGGACTTCCGTTATTAAATATTTGCCATTGCCTTGTTGCGTTTTGGAACAGCAACTTTTTTGAAATACTTAATACGTAAAGAACTAATGTTAAATATTATTCTTATTCTTTAGATTTTTCCTGTTATTACGGAGACGCCGCTAATTGATGCGGGTTCACTTTTATTAATTACGAGTATTCGCACACACCATTTTGGCACAGCTTTGGTGATAATTTTTACGACCAGATGCTCTTCCAACACCACCACTGACACTAACCAAATGGGACACACAATCACATTGCACATAGATTGCTTTGGAACTACTGCCTTAACGATCTCGGCCTTTTAGATGTCCGTATATAAATTACTTGTTATACGCTACTACGTAGTGTGCGTGCAACTTTTTGAAAAAAATATTGTGCGTGGTTTTGTTCAACAGCATTTTTCCTGGTACATTGGCATATTCTGGCGAAACTGGCAGCGCATGCGTAGCCGGAAGCGTTAATGTATTAGATTTTTTTCATAATTCCTACAGCGGCGATCGGTATTCGATTGAATGATTGTAATCAATCAGCTGAGTACTAAGCACTAATTAAATATCCCGGGCGCGTCAACCGTTTAGGCTATTAGTCCTGTAAGTGAAGTGCATGTTTTTTATCGCGGGGGGTGGCAGTGATCATCACCCAGTGGATGGCGAGATCTGGCGCCGACCTCCCTGTCGGCTTGTGGGTATCTCCCACCAGCGGGGCACTGCCCTAGCTGATAGCACGCTTTAAGCTCCCGACTGGTCTCCCAGCATGTGTTTGTGTAGTGTGTGCAAGTGGTGTCAATGTATGTGTCGGTACGTGGTGAGGATAGGACACGGAAGAGGAAGGAAATATTGCCTGCAATCTGTGGCCCGTTTGATAGGGTACTGCTCCAGCATTCGCTTGATGTAGATCGGAGAAACCACGGAAAAATACCCTTGAGAGCTGCTGGCCGTTGGAATTCTCCTTCGACCTACCAATGAAGCCAATGTCGAAAACCCTACCATCGTCGAAACATAAACCCTAGCATCTCCCGGTCAGAGGCACTACAACGACATCTACTGACGCCCTGAGCCACCTACGTTATCGGTAATCGTACTCGGCAGCCTCCACAATCTCCTGGTGCGAGAAGGAAGATCAGCGTCACCGAAGCGAGCATCGTCTAGATCCCAGAAGCCCAGAACTGAACAGTAACTGCCCGGTGCGGATTGTGAAATCACATGACGCCTAAGTTGCACCGATTGGGTGTTAGCCACACCCGCCAGACTCTCCAATTCAAAACGTACAAATCAGCTGAGAGTTTACCGTCACCGCCGCCATCACCGTCGCCGCCGCCATCATCGTCACCGCCACCGTCACCGCCATCGTTACCACCATCGTCACCGTTACCACCATCGTCACCGTTACCACCATCGTCACCGTTACCACCATCGTCGTCACCGCCACCGTCACCGCCACTCGCGACCTCCGCCGAGCCGGCCCGACCGAAGGCCTGAGAGCTGGATTTGCACCGCCTCTACCTGCCGCCAAGATCGCAAAATCAACCATCCAGGAAGCTGCAACTGCGGAAGGTCATCATTTGCATACCTTCCGGATACAACAGAGAAGTTCACATTTCACTGTAAGATGGTCTGAGAGTGGAGATGTGTGTCGAACTTGAAATAGTGTGGAATTTATTTTACTGTAGTTCGAGCCTCGGTACGAAGGAGGTGTGTGGGCCATTAAAAATATCTATAGACATCTACATGTCATAACTTTGTAATTTCAGTGGATAGCTTGCTGTACACATTCATATTAAAAATGAATCTGTTAAATAATCTAAACCACAATAACGTAAAGATTTTATTAAATCAGGGATTCACAATCTTTTTTCTTTTCGTGTCTTTTTTAAAATGAACTCTCATCAACTCCCATTCAGTATTCTTTACAATATGCAGGCAAACGTAATCATAACACAAAGAATTGCACCCAATGTCTTAAAAATAGCAATCCGTTTCAAAGAGTCATACAAAGAGACAGATAAAGAGACAGAGAGACGAACAAAGAGGCAGTGAAAGAGACAAATAAAGATATAGATGAGAAGACAAGAAAACAGACAAATAAACAAAAAGACAGTTAAAAAGACAGACATTGATACCGAGAAAGCGAGTGACGGAAAGGAAAAAAGAAGACAAATAAGCATACCAAGAGGAAGACGAGACAAGGGGACAGACAAAGGAGCAGAGAATGGGGCAGACAAAGGGTCAGACAAGGGGACAGACGAAGGGGTAGACAAAGCGGTGGACAAAGGGCCAGACAAAGACGCAGACAGAGACACAGACAGAAACGATACGGACAACGACATCGCCAAAGGGACAAAGAGAAACGGACGGGGAGACTCGAGAAACGGACGGACAAGAGACAGAAAATCGGACGGTGGATCCGGCTGTGCCTCCCCCGACAGTGCGCGCCGCGCGTGATCTCGTGTACTTGTGCGGTGCGGCGTCGAGTGGAGTGGTGAGGAGAGGGGTGGAGTGGGGGACGGCGCGGCTGGGGTATAAACTTGCGCGGCGGGCGGCGCACGGCGCTATTCTGCTCCGCCGCAGAGAGCCTTGCTGTCCGCCGCCGCCACCGCCGCCGCCGCCATGGTCACGTCTCTCCTCCGGCCGCTGGGTGCCCTGTTGGGAGTGGGGCTGCTGCTGGTGGCGCTCGCGCCGCCCGCCGCCGCCGCGCCCCGCAAGCTGCGTGAGTCGATACGCGCTCGCCCTTTCGCTCATTTGCGGATTCACTCCTGCGTCCATTCATTCTTGCGCCATTTCGCCCTCTCCCTTTCGCCGATTCACTCTTACGCCCTTTCAAACATTTGCCCATTCTCCCACTCCCTTTTGCCCCTTCGCCAATTCACTCTGCGTATTTGTCCTCGAAAACTCGCCCTGCCTTTTGCCCTGCCTTTTGCCCTGCCTTTTGCCCTGCCTTTTGCCCTGCCTTTTGCCCTGCCTTTTGCCATACCTTTTGCCCTGCCTTTTCTCTCGCTTTTCCCCTAGCTATTTCCCCCTCCTTCGACATTTTATTTCTCTTGGGCTGTCTAGTACTGGAAAGGTGTCAACAATCACGTCCACGGAAACGAGTGACGATGAAAAATCGCAGCACTGTTTCATTTTTGTGCTTTGAGATGCCTACATCGTTGAAGCGAGAGTCCACGCACGGAAGCGTTTTTGACAAGCAGCTAAAGTGAATTTGTGTGGAAGCGCTGTGAATGCATACATGTGGAAAGCGCATTCTGTGGATTAAAAATGTAAAGTGTAACTTGATACGACATACGTTATTATTTAATTTATCTACTTAAAGTAGTAAAAGTCTGTAAAATGTAAATTTTTACGAAATAGTACAAAATATTCTTTTAATACGATGTGTCGGCATAAATGTTCATTTCACTGAATTAAGAAGACGTACTTAATTAGTAATCGAAGTGAATCAAGTTTGGTGTAATTATTTTGACGTAAAACTATACGGACTTACATCGTGTTGTCTGAGACTCAGCGTGCACTCGTGCCTACATTCATAGAGCATGAAGTCTCCAGAGAGTGTTGGCGGTAATAGAAAGACGTATTGACAAAAAAGTCTAGGTGATATAAGTTCTTCTAAATTCTTGCGGATTGTAAACTGACGTCTGCAGTAAAATTACTGTTTGTGTTTTTAAGGTCATTAATTCCCACATTCGTTAAAAACCTAGTGACCTACTGCGTTGTTGTCGTTCTCCTCCAACATTCTAATTCTATTTATTTTCAAGTATTTAACGAATAAACAGTTAAAACTGTATGTGACGTATGGGAAAGAGAAACTACACCATATTCGGTTTGCTGAAACGTTCATAATCGCCATCTACAATATTATTTCCTGCTTCCCCATTTTATCGCAAAGTTTAAGCAACTCGAGTGAAATAAAATAAAAACTTGTTTTTTGCATCTGGTTACTTACGGTTAAGGGATAGGCTACCAAAAAGATTTTTCGAAAAGAACGTATCCATAAGCAATAAAAAATTAAAAATCGAAAGAGTGGCTATAAAATATGGTGCTAGTAAATATCTGGCGGTACAATTCTATTGTTCTCGCGCACACAGCTTAGCAGTTTCAGTGAACTTGGTATTAGAGTCGTGAAAATTGGAACGTCAAAATTCAACTACACAGGCTCAGGCGTTTCTAAATTGAAGGTTTCAAATAGAAAAGTATATAAATGCCATTTTCATACTTTCGAGAAAAATGAGTTAAACCTATTGGCACATACAACTCCTGCGATTTATAATCACCGCGTAACCCTGACAAGAAATGAGTCTTGACTTTGGTTCTTATTTATATTATAGTGTTTGATTCATTTATCAATATTTTAGGAAGTCATAAATTTAACTGGAATGGTACTTACATAATTTTTATTTCAAGCCTTTAATTCGTTTGGTTTTTTTTTTGATCTTGAGTGGCTGTACGAGAAAAAAATCCATAATATTATTACTATTGAATAAACTATTGATGAGCTAAGATGTACTATGCATAAAAACAAAGATATACATGTAGTACACAATGATAAACTAGTCTTCGAAGACAGAAAATCTAGTCTTTGAAGTTCTATTGTGCTGTTAAATTCTAAGATCGCAGTGTGCCTCACCGACTCCCAGAAATATCAGAGCAACTAAATTGAATTCCTTTATGTGACGTGATAGACAGTACCAACAATCGCAAATAACCCAAAATTCCATCTGGTGGCCTCTTTAGAAGTTCCTTACAAGCGTTAAAACATCTACAAGTTAATTGTTGAGAGATACAATTTTATAGTGCCTCATGAACATTGATCGACATGAAGGAAACTTCCTTTGTAATTTGTATTTGCATTGGTGTCGCTTCATAAAATCGAGAATAAACAGCGCCTATTGGTACTGATACGCATATGGTACCTGAAACAATTCATGAATGAATATTTAAAAAGTCAGTAATAATATTATACTTCGCTAACATATGCTGTTTTGCAATATAATATATATGTGTACAAACCCTTAAAAAAAGAAGTAGCAAAAGAATGTATTAAATAATATTCTTAATTCATATAATTACTAATACAAATATTATATATGAGTAACGATGCATGATGATCAGTAAATCATTACATAATGTGTTATCTTTAAATACACTATATCCTGTTTTCTCTACAAATCAATGAACTGATAGTTACTATTGATTTTATGCGTAAAAGAAATACTTTAACAACATTTCAAATATATTTTTTCGAAATAAAATCATAATTTTTGTTAGAAACACAATATAATAAAATAATAAGTTGCATAACTTGTATCATATTACACACATACCTTTTCCGCATTATTATCTGTTTCTTAATACTTTGCAATAATATATTACAATTGTTATTATTATTGTTTCACTATGAAAATAAAAAAAATATAAAAATTCATGATAGCAAATGAATTCAGTTGAGGTCAGTTTCAAGTAGAGAGAACGAGAACAAACATTTTATTCTTTGTTTTGTTGGATAAATAATTTCGCCAGATTTCTCCTCCAGTTGCACCGCAAGAGATCTTTTTATTGCAAATGAAAAGCTCTCTTCGAAAAAATTCTTCGATTTCAATGTGGCTCTATGAACATTTGTTCCCAGTAACTATTATCAGATAATACTAGGGAACACGGAAATTAACACCAACTCTGTATAGCAGCAACTTATTTCACAGGGACATGACCTTGAGAAAAAAGTATAGCAAACTGGTTGTCTGCTTGCCGTCGGTGGCATCTCGTCTTTCAGGTTTCTTGTGTCCAGTTTTTGAGTTCGTAGCAAAACAAAGTCAGACATTAATATTCGCGGGACCTTTTTGTCAATGCACGTGCAACATACACCTCTGACGTCAGAACGTCTCGTTTATTTTGACTTCCACTGGACCTCGGAAATATCCCACACGGACGACAAAGCTCACTTAACTGAAAATAGACAACTTTGTTAAGTGTAATATATTAGTTTATATTACGGTTTCTTAACTTGTAAGAAAACAAACGATTCCAAATAAGCAGACAATTCTGTCCAATTATGATACATTTTGTTGATGGGCTACAACAATACCAGAAATTGGAAAAAAAACAACAAATTTTCATTTATTACTATTACATTTATAATAACTAATATTAACAGAAATCTAAGAATCCTTTTAGTACTTTATACTTCATAATTTATCAATTACACTAGATTTTTACTTCCAGGAAGATAAATGAACCACATGCTCAATTTTATACGTAAATTGCGAATAGCACAATAAAAGTTTCATATGCTATTAATGCAAACACAGTTAAATTCAATATGTAAGATTAGTTGAATCAATACGCATAAAATATATTTAAAATAAAATATTTGTTCAGTTCATTTATGGCACTTTCATGAGATAACAAAATTAGGATATCGTGATTATTTTTACCATCTGTATTCGAAGATTGCCGTCTTTATTCTCGCGTCTGGTAGTCGCACTACATAAAGAGTAGATCTTGGTGGATGTTTTGAAAACAAGTCACGTTCACCCTCAAATTTCCTACTGGGCATCAGACACAGAAATGAATTATTTCACCTCCTTACCTTATCGCAAGTATACAAGTATCCAATTATTGGAGTGGAAGATTCTGAGTGAGTCGGTGTCATGCGGAACTGTCCGCGCTGCGTGTGAAGTTCATGTCTGGTTTGCGTGTGCCTCAATACATGATAAAATGCAAATTGTCATTTCACATCGAAAGGATGCGATTGAACTCGATAACTTATATTACGTTTGTGGAAGGTTTACACCCAAGTTTCAAAGAAAAAATGCGAGTTCTTTATATTTTAGCTGTCAGGATTATGATCAGGAAAAACCATGGGCTGCAAACCAGTGTTATGTCACGAACCTTAGGTTTTGGTTGTGTGGAAAACTCATATCATTGCCACTCTATCAATGTTGTGAAGAATACCAACACATCATTTTAATATCTTCATGTTATTGTACAATCATGTATTGCATGTTCATAAAATTTTGTAGTAATACAACCGGAGAGTCAATACGAAAATTAGTGTCGGATTTTCTTTATTTCAAATACTAAATATGTTCATATCTTTTGAACCATACGTGATAGAGAATTTTTATAATGCTTTTCAAAAGAAGCAAGGTCGTTTCTTTTGAAATAACTTACTTTTATTCTGGAGCTATGAAAAAAAAGTACTCTAGTGTTTTTAATAGTGTGATACCTTTACTTAAACCGCCAGTGAAAACGTAACTCTTAATCTGAAAATTTAATTTTCAGTTGTGTCTATATCCAGTCCGTAAATAATAAATATACAATGTAACTAATTAAATATAGATGTATACTGAATTGAATCTACCATGTCGATGATTGTTTGGGGGATCATTGTTCCAAAGAGGATCTCTCTCTGTAGACTAATTAAAAAAGTAAATATAGGCGTAGTGTGAAATTAGTTGCGGAGAACAACAGGAAAATTGCTCTAACGAAATTACATTGAAATTAATTACAAAAAGATTACAAAAAAATTGTTAATAAATTTAATCCAAATACCAATTTTCAAATAAATAAACACTAGTCACAAAGAGCTTCAAGAACGTCTCCTCTCAGAATTCATCTCACTAACCTTTCAAAAATATTACTCTCTCCTCCCAACATGTCCCAACACTCCACTATTCAATTTCGGGAAAAACGCGCATTATCCACCACCTATTA